GCTGTTTATCTCTGTTCCGTTTAGACCGTTTTTTCCTGTTTTTTGGCCGTTTAAACGGTCAACCGTTTAATTTCCGTTTACCCCCCTAAATAAAATAGTTTACCACCGTTTATCGTTTACTGGCCGTTTAAACGACCGTTTAATCTGTTTAGGCAAACACTGGTTTTAGCAAATGATTTACAGTGTAACACCGAGAGTGTTACACGAGCACTCTGGGTGAGCATCTGCGCGAGCACCACTGGGGCGAGGACCTGCTCGACGGCCTGAGTGAGCACCTGCGCGAGGCACGCGAGCACCCTGGGTGAGCATCTGTGTGAGCACCCCTAGACGAGCACCTGCTCGGCGGCCTGGGCTAGCGCACCCTTGGCATCTACGAGAGCACCCCTGGACGAGCACTTGCTCGACGGCCATCACACCCTTGGCGAGCACCTTTCAACAGCCGAGCGGGCAGCGGGGCGGCCGCAGCGAGCGAATGCCGTGGTGTAGGCGAGCGACGCGGTAGAGCATGGAGTGGGGAAGGCGGGCAGCGTGGTGGAGTCGGATGCGCAGGTATGATGGAGCGATGGATAAGGCCGTGACGGTGGAAGCCAAGCGCACTAGAGAATTTTTTTAAAGGGGTGCGGATAGGAACGAGCGGACGGTAGTGAGTGGAGAAGTTGCATCCGTCCGTCCCCAGATGCCCTCACGGCCGAATTTCCAAAAAAAAAAAATCATGAGATCATACACGTTTTGAGGGGTCATGAGATCAACTTCACTTGGGAACCGGTGCTTCGAAGATGCTAAATGCAATGTGTTGCGATGTACTCTCTCCGTTCCAAATTATAAATTATTTTGGTCTATATAATTACAATAGCTTACAATAGCTTTTACTATGAATCTAGATACTATATCTAGATGTAGAGTAAAAGTTATGTATCTATGAAAGCTAAAACAACTTATAATTTGGATTACCATGGAGAGAGTATCCGAGTTCCAATAATTCCAAGCTCAGATTGTACCGGGTAGAAGAGCTTCTGCTTCTCAAAGGGCAATGCACTGCGGCTTGACTTCACTTCTGCCGGCCTGCCGCTTGGATCCAACATCACTGCTACACTGCTGTAATAGTGTTAACCCTGCTATCTTGTTAGTTGTTACCTTGCTATATTCTGAGAGCCACACCATCCGGCAAATATGCTTTTGCCGATCAATAAATCAGTGGTTCCCTTGATGCATAGATCTGGATTGGCGTTGGTTATAACCCTGATTTCGTTGTTGCGAATGTATAATTGGGAAACAATCCATTAACAGAAAATGCAAACTGCCGAACTTTATAAGTTTTCATTGTTTCTTTCCTTCTCTCTTCACGCTGCTACGTGTTTCAACCTCCATATCACGATTAGCAAAAAAAATAAGAACCTATCAGGATAAGAGTATCATCAAAGCCAGTGGATATGGCTGGTGCAGTCACATTAACCAAGAAGCTTTCAGTCATTTCACATTGAGAGATCATCGATGAAGTGGAACCTAGGACTGCACATGAGTCTGAAGGAAGAGAAACTGCATGGAAAACAAACCCTGGTATAAATAAATTCACACGAAACAAGTTCTTCGTGGTGATATAGGCATGTACCTCAAAGGACTTCCCCGATCTCTCATACTCGAGCATACTGAGAGCTACTTCACAACTCTGCGAGACTATGGGCTCAGGATCCTTTGCAAACTCCTCCAAAAGCGCAATGCTTTCTTGGTCTACAACACAGAACGACCACAATCTCAGGTAACTACACAATGTCTATGCATGGACTGGAGTTGGTAAATGACATTCTGCCAAAGTTTGCAGTATTAGTTACCAGCGATTGAGCCAAGTGCTTCAGCAGCTTCATGCCTGACCATTGGATGCTCACAGACATCCTTCAGGACTGTAGAAAGCGCATCTGAAGCGGCTTTATTTTGCAGCTGACCTAACACATAAGCAACCTGCAGAATAATACCAAGAAAATGGTATTATATTCGATATAACCAAAGACATTGGAATGCAAAGATAAAAAAATACTTAATTTCTTGAGAGGAATATGATGTTATGACAATGTGCACACTAGGTCTGAAGCAATGTGCACACTAGGTCTGAAGCAGTTTCACACCACCAATCCTATTATCCTACCCTGATTTGTTACTATGTTTCTTCTTTTCAGAAAGGGAAACACCAAACTTCCACTCCACTAAATAAATATAACAGACAAATTTCTTGAGGATCCTACTGACCATAAACTAAGAGGTTGTGACTGGATGTTGTCCAATCTAACATAACAAGGCTGACATGTGACATCACATATATTAAAAAAAATATCTGCAAGGCTGCTCAGGTATTCAGGTTTTTGCTCAACTGTCAACTCTATTTCAATTTATTATGCCAGTTCAAAATTTTCAAGTGTAAATGTTAAACAAAAATCTAGACTGTCAGAATCTAAAGAAATAAGTTATGAGGCAACCAAAAAAAATCCAATAGAATTCAGAATAATTTTTGCCTTAAAAAAAAGAAAAATTCAAAGGATACATTGCTGGTTGCTTGATTTATGATTGTATACAAAAATATGACAACATGGATTAGCCAAATTTTGAGGAAACCTCGTGACGTAGAAGAGCACTTTTGACGCTCAGAGCTGCAACAATAGCAGAAACAGCAGCATCTCCACCATCATTCCTAAGTGCAAAAAGAGCTGCATACCGTTCGTACATGCTCTCTTGCTCATTGAGAAGAAGATCCCTGAAAAACATCCACCATGTTGACAACGGAAAGGCTGTAGGCATAGGATACAATCAACACATGTAAGAATCCTTTGAAAGTTGTAAATAATACCTTAATTGATCTACTGAAAGTCCATGCTTTGCAGGCAGCGCTGGATCAACTGAGAGGAAGGGTGAAGTGGTTGTACTCTCAGCCCCATTAACTTTCTTCTGCTCTTCTATTCGTCTTAGTGCCAGCTCACAAGTTTCTTGTACCTCCACAGCAGGATCAGTTGTTAAACTTTCCTCCAACAGGGGGATGCTCTTTTCCAGGCCAATAGCTCCAAGAGCTTCAGCTGCCTAACCAATACACATAAACAATTATTTAACATGGATATTCAAGTACTAGAAGCAGCATATAACATCGAATTCACTGAGTACCTCATGGCGGACAATTGGATGTAGATAAAGATCTTTGAGAACTGCCACCAGCGCAGGAATAGCCTCAGCATCCTGCATTTGTCCAAGTGCAAATGCAGCCTCATGGGCAAGCAAGTTAGAAGGATCCCTTGCAGCTGAACAATTTACAAACTATGTCAGGTTTTCTTAAGCACAATCCTTTGATCTCTCAAACACTAAGTTGCAGAAATCTGAAGATGCACAGCTAGCAGTGCAAAAGTGGGTGGTTGCAAATCAGGCCCTTGATGTGCTTTCCACTTCTTGCATAACTAGTCTAGTACAGTTTTGTTTTTCAGTAATGGACTAAAAAGACATTGATAGACATTCAGAGCTAGCAGCTTTGTCTGTAACGGCCACTGTTGACAGCAGAGTACAAACCAAAGTTAACATCATAATCTCACAATTATACATATCAGCAAAGGAACCAAAAAAGTGGCAGGCATCAGAAATTTCAGGAAATTAACATGTACTACATAGCAACAAATATTAAATAACCTGAACCAATGAAACAATACCAAAATTTAAGATAAACACTTAAGATAACAAATATATTGGCCATATGTTCAGCAAGTCCTACAGAGGGCTAGGTGGTCAGTGACCCGCTGCTAATTTCTTTCTTTGGTGCTGGCCAAAATGTAACTCACAGAAACTCTGAAAAGTCTATACGTAAAACTAGCGTTATGAAATATTTGCATTAGATAACTACTGCTAGCACTAACGCACAATCAGCTAGTGTAGCCTGTTGAGATCAATTTGATGAATAATGCAAAGAAGCTATCAAAGTTAAATCTTCTAGTATCATCAGTTCATCACCTCAGCACTAGTATGGACTGTAAGGCCACTAGAATTTGGAACAAAACACCGCGCGTCAAGCGTGGTTAGCCATCTACCTATACGGAATGTAATGAATTTGGAACAAAACCGACGAAGTGCTGCAATCAAGGCACCAAATTAGTGAACCACAGAACGGTATCCACTGCAACTACTCGATTAGTTCGGGAAAGCAACATGACCAGAAATCTGTTGCGTCGGTTGCTAAAACCAACCACAAGCTGCTAAAGCCTTCAACCAAGCTTGGAAGAGTAGCAAAGCCGAGACAGTGAAGCCAGGTGAGAGTGAGACCTTGGAGGAGGGCGCGGCGCGGCGCATCCCCGCGGAGGTTGCGGAGGGAGAAGAGCGCCCGGAAGCGCTCCGCGATGGGCTGCTCCGTGTCCAGCAGCCGCTCGCAGAGGAACCGCTCCATCTCCGGGGACGACTCGAACGCGGAGGTTGCCGCCATCTCACTCCGGCGATTCCGTACGGTTCACACGCTCCGGTCGGCAAGGTGGTCACTGGCGGCGGTGAAGGAAATCCAGGCGTCGGAAAGAAATGGAGAAGAAGAGGACGAGCTCGCGTCGAGTCGACGCCGACCGTCCGATCGGAACGCGCCACGTCACCTCTCCGAACGGACGGCCGACAGCGACCTGCCCTTACAGGCTCCTCTCGCTGCCGGTGGGTCCCAACGCTTTTGACCCAGAACCTGGCCCACGTGGCAGTTACACGCTACTTGTAATCTCACATTCGGCGAAGCGCGTAGCATTCCTTGATTTCCTTCTCCCCTTTGCGGCTTCTCGCAGCGCTGCGAATCCCAAATCCGAGCCGATCCGACGCGAATCGATCGAGAGGTGAGCTCGCTGGATTCCCCCGCAGATCCCCGCACTCGCCCATCCCTCTCCGGAATTTTCCCTCTGCCTTTTCGTGCTCTTGGCGCCCTCTTCGGCGATTTGTTTGTCTCTGATGGGTTTGGGGTTTGGTTCCTGCAGGCAGGAGGCAGCACGATTCGGATTGAGACGAGCGCCATGAACCCGAGAGGGTAAGATTCTGCGCCTTTTTGTTGCTTTCAGCTTCGAATTTCGTGACATGGTGTTCGGATTTATAGGGTTGATGAGCGCGTGCGATTTGTTGGTAGGGCCCAATGTGGCTGCCTCACTGGATGGGTTACACTCGATTAGTGCGATCGGTACGCAGCGTCTGTTAGTTAGGGATAAAGATGAGTGATTAGTGCTGCTGTCTACTTACCTTGTATATAATTCAGTTGTTGTTGTTGTTGTTGTTGTCCTGTAGTATGCCTAGGAATTCCCTCCAAAAGACAAATCGATTGGTGTATAGGACAGTTTCATTCCCCAGCTCTAAATTGGTTGAGTACCATGAATAGAGGTTTCTCAGACATGGAAGTTGGTTTCAAATGATTGTTGACTGGGCTTGTTTTGCTTATCTGTCCCAACAGACCAATGAATTCGTAACTTGGGACTCTAAGAGCTACCATTCTAAAGCTACTGATATCTTTGTTTATGTGTGCTGATATTTCTCTGCTTTAACAGATTCATACTTTGCTCACTATCACCGCCTCATGATCAAAATTCTTTGCGATAGGTCTTCTCTCTGTCCCTCTCAATCTCTGTCCCAAGCTCTGTAGTCTGTAGTTGTGCATAACAATGCATCTTTATAAATAATTCAATAATGGAAGGGGATGAAAAGGATCTGCTGGAGCAATATAGCTAAAATTAGAAAACTATAAGACACGGTGGTCCTTGTCCGGCATAATTGCAGTACATGAATTTCACCCAGACGAAATGGACAGACTCTCTATGGCAACTATGGATCTTAATTATATTGCTAATTGGCGCTAATGTGTACTACCTATGTCATTGCCTAGTTATTATCGCACTTCCTTTTTTTGTCACCTAGTTTTCTGTTGTACCAAAGCATTTGAGCAGACAATGTTTTGACTTATTTCGTGATATGGGTCCAGAGAACTGTGTTTGTCGGTCCATCACAGAGTATGCAGGTTCCCCGTTTCCAATTCGTGGGCAATATATGTTTAATAACTATATTGTTATAACGAATATTGATTATTGTTGAGCTGAGTCAACTTTTGTTAACGTTACTGATAGAAAACAGAATTCAGAAGTATTCACACTTTATGGAAATAATATATGTTTTTCTCAGTTTAAATGCAATTTATAGTTTGGATTGTTTCAACATATTTGTTCAGCTACTTTATCAAAGGAATAAAGCTGTTTGTTCTTATTCATCACTGTGATACATGTGCTTAGGTCACCATGTACTTATAATCTTTGAATTTGTGAACTTGGACACATAGAAATGTTAGTCCCTGGTTATATATTTGTGAATCCCTTCGTACTTATAATAATGTGGAATCCCATTTTTATCTGAACATCCTATGTTAACTGTTCCTTTGTGAAAAATTTATTTGAGTACTTAAGTTTAATTTGCATGTTCTGATGTGGATATTCTGAACCCCTTTCACTTTGCAATTATTTTGTATGCTCCCTTCGTCTATTGATTATATGCCCAACTCTTATATTGGTTATTTTATGCACTTTGTGCAGCTACCGTAGCAACAGAACTTCTCTCTTCGATGGCATTGAGGAGGGTGGAATCAGAGCAACATCCTATTCTTCCCATGAGATAGATGAGCAAGAAAATGATCGAGCTATTGATGGACTGCAGGATCGTGTCAGCATTCTCAAGCGGGTATTGTGCCACTTAAACTTCTTAATGTTCTAATTCCACTGATTCTATTATGCAAATAATTGTAGATATTATTATTATTATTATCGTTAGTAGTATATTTACTAGCTCAAGCTGTGTTACATAGATAAGATAATAAAATAGGTTTATTAAAACAATAGTGTGTTCCTTTAAAAACAGTCCCTCTCTGCTGCATCTTTAGTGCATAGTAGTAGTAGTAGTGTAGATAGGGGATTCTTGTCAACCGTGTGCTTTCCTGGACCAGTTTGGTTTTAAATATTTGAAAGTAGTTCAGCACAGGTTAAAATTTTTACCAAAAAGGAATCTGATTATCTTATGGGCTTGCAATTACGAATTGGTGGCTGTATTAATGCTATCTGAATATTTCATTGGCCTAACTTTTTTTTTGAGTGTGGTATGCATTTGGTAGCTAACAACTAGAATGTCTACATTAATAAGGTATGGTTTTCTTTAAAAGCTAACAACTAGATGAGATATAGGGGGATTCTTATGTAATTTGGTACGCTTGAAAAACACTGGGAGTAACCAGCAAATGGGAAGTCCTGGAGAATATCTGGACATGGGTCTTGTCATGATTCTGGTGTAACTATGTCTCTTTGTCAATCTGATTCTTTCTGTCTGACGTCAGTGTAGACATTCTCCAAAGTCCAAAGTAATAAATATGACAAGCAGCAATCTCTATTATGGTTTAGGGTGCTTTGCTCATTTTATTAATGGTATGATAGAAAATAAACGAACATTCCAATAGCCCTTCCATGGCTAGTTTAAGTTTGTTGGAATTGTTCTAACTTTGATTCTTTCCCCATTTATCAATCTGGATAAGCTTCTTGGCAACTATATATATTTGTTATTAGTTACTGAAAGCTCTTTTACTTTCCTATAGTTGTCAGGAGATATCCATGAAGAGGTGGAGACTCATAACAGAATGCTAGACCGAATGGTATTTGCAAATTATCCTGTTTTGGCCCCCCTTTTTTTTGATGTAATAAGATAGGATCTGAATCTACTATCCTACTCCCTTACCATCATGCCTGATTCAGGGGAATGATATGGATTCATCAAGGGGTTTTCTCTCTGGAACCGTGGACAAATTCAAGATGGTAAGCGACAAGAAACAATTACTAGCACGTAGTTCATCTGCCCCTTGTGCCCTTCCGAGATGATTCATGTGTGAATGAACATGATACAGGTGTTTGAGACCAAATCGAGTCGGAGGATGGGAACCCTCGTCGCATCATTTGTCGCCCTTTTTCTGCTGGTTTACTACTTGACCAGGTAGAAGCATCCGTTGTGAAAGCTCTGTGGGCTGGCGTGCTCAAGAACATGCTGGAAATGGATGTGCTGATCTGCATACTGTGTCGTATATACCTTGAAAACTCACTTTTCTGAGTGCAAAGTATGTTGATGTGGGTTTCGTGAACTCTGCACTGTATAACACGACTACAGCGTGTTGGGTCGATCCTCTGATCTGTTGCTGGAGCTACAGAAAATGGATTCAAGTTTGTTGTCCGTTCCTTTGGCATGTTATGTGTATGGACATATGGTATTAGTAATAGTAGTAGCATGTGGAATCTCTACCGTGATGTATCTATAGTTGGTTGCCTTGTGGCTGGACTTGTTTAATTGTAGAAGCTTTGTTTGAGCACTATGTGAGCAAACAAATCCAGATGGAAGGAATGATAATGTGGTTGCACCAGGAACAACTTGTATAATAACACTTGATAAGGAGTATTATATGGTTACAAAACTTAAGGTCAGCGTGTGATTAAACGCAGGAATCACAACCAACGCAATGATCAAGGATGCAATTATTGAGGCAGCAAGATGCCCTCTATTCGTGCGGGCAAGGGAACAAGCACCAAACACCTGTAACAACCTTAGATAATTGAACTAGCCGGTGCTAATCACATGCATGTATGCCTATACGTACCTATGCCTCGTATTTCTATACTAATCTCGTCAAATGCACTAGCTCTGACAGGTCGATTTTGGTTTCTAAACATTTGTCATTCTTGTCCTGACGGCCACCGTTATGTTTCCCTTGTTTTTCGACAAACTCTCCGATATATGTTTGATTATGGTTACTATATATAGAACAAATAAGGACCAAACATGTCGAAGATACTTTAGGTTATACATCTAGTTATGTTACTTAGAGCCTGATTGGTTGTTTGTCTTATTAGCAAGAGATGCTATTTGGTTGTGTAACACCTCTGGTGTTATGAGCTCGCTTAGCACCAAGATTAAGGCCTAAGAGAAATCAGTCAACTAAATTTTTGGGTTTTGAAAACCTAATACGCACATGAAGTAATAAGTGAATCATATGTAACTCACTTTAGTGGACTCAAATAAACATCCAAGGTAACTCACTCAGTGCGTGAAGTATTTAAAAATGTCCTATAACGATTCTAGCAAATAAATAGCGAATGGCTTGTTCTATTAGATTAAGCATGAAAAACAATTTTTATAAATTTTTTTAAAGTATAACTCGTATTTATTACTTGAATAAAAATTGGAGTGCAAGTTTAGTAGAGGAAAATGCAACTTTTGTTTTGGTGAGTAGAAATTGTTCAATAGTATATTTGATAGCTCAGAAATTGAATCCAAAATTAAACAAGAACTTTTCATGAATTGACATGAAGTTGAAATTATAGTTAGAATACTATTTTGACGAATTATATTGAGCAAAATAGTTAAAGTGTGCTTAAGTATTTCACTCCTATGGGTTAATATGCAGTATGGGCTATGTCATGATATGCTTGTTAGTTGAAATCGACGGGGTTTAGATCTTTTAAAAATTAAGACAAGCGCGCTAGTGGATGTTAGTTCAAAACTGAAATATATGATTTTCTAGGTATGGAAAGGTGGTAGACAATGCAATCTTGACATTTGATTTCTAACCGAAACGTTTAGACACTAGCCACATGTTTTGGTATTGTTGACTGCATCTAAGTGAGCAGTTGAGAATGGTATAGGTTGTTGGGTGTTAAGTTGCTCTCTTTAAAATTGCTTGAACTTCGTAAGAACGCGCTGTGAACTATGTGGTTGGTGCTCTGTTCGCGAACCGACGTTTCCGCGATGAACTGATCTTGGCACTCGTTGATCTTCCTCCTCAGCGGCTCGTTGATCATAACCATGATTTCGCTAGGAACTGGGTAGCGTGAACTATGGATGGGGTGAGCGGTTGAGCCTTAGGTGGGGTAATTAGTTGTTTTTGTTGAGCTTTAAAATTCGTGCATGTTGCCGTTTCGGCCATTGGGCTTCCGTGGTCGCGGTAACCACGCGAGCATGGTGCCGCGGCTGCCCGGCCGCTCCTGGCCGTGGCCGCTGCTCCGCTGGTCAACTTCACTAGCAGCTGGCCGCACATCGGGCCGGGGTAGGCCGCGCTCGTCTCTGCGGGACCGGGCTGGGGTCGCCGCCGGTGAGGCCGTGAGCGGGCTGAGCCGACACCGTGGCAGCCGCCGTCTAGTCAACGTGGCACTCTTTCTGCCGCTCGAACCACCTACGCATCGAGATGTTGCCTGCTTCCGTAGTCACGTCGCATTTACGACCTGGTCGCGATGTCACTGCCCTCTCTCGCGTCGCGTTGTGCCTTGGCTCCGCGCGGCAGCTTAGCGTGTGGCCTCTGTTTCGCTGTCGCCGACCGAGTCCGCCTGGACGAGCCGTCCCATCCCGGTGTCTCACGACTGCTCCCTCTGAGTCACGCCGCACGCATGTCCTCACGTATTTATTGCGGCCTCGGCCAGGGCTAGCCGAGCCACGTATAGCCACTGTCGCCTGCCTTGTCACCATTGGAGCCACGCCGTTTTCATGATTTCACGCCGTCCATAGCCCGCCCTCCGTTTCAGCACTCCAGCAGATAGATATAGCAACCAGCTAGCAATCTGACCCCCTCCCTGATGCTGGCAAGCCGTACCGGCTGACAATTTGGTGCTTCGCTCACCGCGGGCCATGAGCACCGCCGTAGCCGGTAAGAGGTAGGTAAGGCCGAGGGTTCAATTGCTTGCGATCCCGAACTTGGTTTAACTTCCCCTATTCGGTGCTCGTGTTATTATGGCAAGAGCGTTCGTTGATGGCGTGGTGACGCGCTGGTGTCTGCGGCGGAGCACCGCCGTCCCGCTCAGTCGCACGTGGCTAGACCACCACCACGTTTCCCTGCTTCAATCTCCAGAGCAGCGGGCACCATGGTGAGCCACTGATACTCATCCACCCGTTGTACTCCGCTGAACATGCGTAGTTTCGCCGGAACAGGCTCACCGTCGACGCGGATCGCCGCCCACCGCGGCAGACCACGACAGGGTGTCGCCGAGTGCCCAACCGCTGCCCATCGCTGCGGGTTTAGTCATAGATGGTGGTCGATCCATTAGTGCCGTTGCAGTAGGTCTAGCGCGTCCGACGTAACCGCTATCGCCGCCGGTGTCCACACCACCGTGCGTGGGCGCGCCGAGGACTGCCCCATTGCGAAGGCAACACATTCCAGGGACTTTAATACAAAACGTGAGTCTGCAGTAATAGTGCTTTGTTGCCCTGCCTGATTATCCTAAAAGCTGAGTCCTCTTTTACAAAGTGCCGCGCGCGTGGGCTTCCCCTGCCTTGGGCCGTATTGGGCCGCCACGGCTCGCCCGCGCCCGCGCCCCGCGTTGGGCCGGCAGGCCAGATGGGTTAAGGTCGGCCCTTTTCCTTTTTTCAAGTATTTGCTAATTTAGTTTCTAAGCCAAACTTGTAAATTCAATACCAATTTGTGTAGCTAACTAAAAATTGAGAAACTTATTTTGTTAGGTTCTTAAAATCATGATCTATCTTCTAGTGTAGTTTATTCACATAGTTTCATAGAATTTTCAAAAGTAGACTAATTAATTTGAAGCATTTAAATGGGTAAAACATGAACTTGTAGGAATTATCGTAATAAATTGGTAGTAGTATTGGCCCTGAAATTTTTACAGTAGATTTTTAACAATATTAGGTGCTCACTGTAATTTTTGTATCTCCATAGGAATTAGTTTGTTAAGGTAACTAAATGAGCCCTAGTACGAAAATATATATTTAATCAGTCGAATGTCAAAAATAATTGGGGGTTTGTAGAACGAAAACATTTTTCAGAACAAGCCTTACTTGGCGACGTGGATACGTAGACTAGTATGTTAGTCATTAAGCTAGCTCGTTAGCTCATGAAGCGTAATCATATTATAGAGTTGCAGTTACCATTGATTAATTGCATCTCTGCATTGCATCCACGAATATCATAATAGGAACAACGATGGATCGTGAAGATGACCGAAGTAGCAGAAAAGATGGTGCCTGATGATCATGTCACCACGATGGAATGCTAACTTTTGGTTATATCTTACCCAGGCAAGCCCCGGTGCATAACCCTATTATTCTGCACTTTATTTTATTCTTGTGCATTAAGTTTAAGGAGTTGAATGAAACCCACTTGCATATATATATATCCTTATCCTATGAGTTTTACTAGTATGACAGGATCGTGTAGATTGCTATGCTACAGGACTCCGGTAGAAGTCGAGTGATTGCCTGTCACTTGCGAGAGATAGAAAATATATTATTATTGTTATTATATTACTATCATATGAAATATATATAAATAATAATTGGAGACCAGGCGGAATGGTATTTTGGATCTGCACTTGGTTAGGCATTTGAGGAAGGCTCGGATTGCACTTGTTTCGCCTGTGTCGGTTAAGGACCGACCGTTGCATTGGATTCTAGTCATGTCACAGACTTATTATTCTAAACGCATACTTGTTTATGGGAGCAGGGAAGGCTTGTTGCTCTCTTGTCGTGGGTTCTGGCTCTTTCCGGACCGACTGATTGGAGGCGGGGATGGTGGAGGTCTAAGCACCACACTGAGTCCGGGACTTAGGTGTGGGGGCTTGGAGTCCAAGTTTGAACGAGGACCTAGACCCCTTGACAGGAGAGTGGTGGGTTGGTTCTGCTTATGACTGGGGTACATGCGGGGCGTGTGTTTTGGGGTACCCAGCTGGGCACATTGATTCATGAATCATCGGGTAATCCGGTACAACTTGTCTACGATCTAGCACCGTAGTAAGAACTGAAAGATGAAAGATGGTAAAATGGTCCTGATTGCTTACCACCTGCTTGAAAGTAGCACATGTGCTTATATAGAATGTTTAGTTAATGAATTAATGATGACATGCCAATAAAATTGAATACAAGGACGCACGTTTAGTAATGCTCCTGCAGATGCAATAAACTCACAAGCCAGATAGCCTTACATATTCTTGGAGTCTTTTCTTTTCTCCTAACGGGTAAGTCTTGCGGAGTACAATCGAGTACTCAGGGTTTGTTCTACCCTGTTGCAGGTGACAGGAACATGTGGGGCTGACACTTGTGTGTGGAAACCTCCTGGT